AGTCAGGAAAGAGGTTAAGCAGATGCATATCCTTAAGTTCTAAATGACTTCTGTGGGACTTTCCCTTGTCTTAAATTTTGAATGTACTTGAAACATACTAATGGCTAAGCACAGACTATGAATACAGGTGGCTCAGTTTGGCCCTCAGCTGGCACAAAAACAAAATTTTACATTACTTTTAAAGTGTTTTGACTAAAATCCAGCAAAGTACTTAAGCCTACACACAGTGCTGATTTAACTGTCTCAGTTTATAGTTACACTGGTGCAATTTCCTAGCATGGACACAGTTCTGCTAGTATTTGTCTTGGCATAACTTAGCAAGACACTTTTACAGAACAGAATGCCACTGAAAGTCAAGAAGGCTGGGGCAAACCTGCAAGAGAGAAAACCAAACCTGAGTAAACTGAAAATGCAAAACTGAAAGGGCATAAGAAGCGAAAAAATTTGACTATTGAAGTGTTCATCTTCAAAATCTTCAAGAGATCATTGGTGGCATTTCTCAGAACAATGTGTCTATTTGTATGTGAATTCATTTCACAAGTAGTAGCTCCTTCCAGAAGGTGTGGATGAAATGCATGGATTATACCTCATATAATGTAAGACCCATTGAGCTGAATATGGTCTAAATGGTGGGTTGAAGTATAGAAACCTGTTTTAGGTTCTGTATGGCATGTAGTGAAATCCCTATTACAGTCTTCTGATTCTGCTGAGAATACATTATTTTTTTTATTGTTATTTTCCTTTTTGTTAAAACTTAATGCAGCCAAACGACTCAAGATAAAAGAAAGCACTTTTTTCCTTTCCAAAGGATCTTCAAGGAAGAGTTTGACCACGAAAAAGGCTGATAAAAATGAAGGAAGAATAATGACCTTTTTATGTATTATTTACAATGCACAATAGTAGTCAAAGTGACACCATTATTCAGCTTTCCAATACTTGTGAATTGGTTATGGATATCACATACCAATGGGAAATATACCTAATAACCTAGTTCTACTTTGGGAAAGGTCTGTTTCTAAGACCCTCCCGTAAAACTAATAAAATTTTTATTTATGCCCCACTTGGTGCTTCAGATGGTCCATTTCCCTAGATCCATTCATTTTCTTTTTTGGTTGTTTCTGTTATGGGCTGATTTGCTTTGGCTTTGCACTAAATAGGATGTAAAACTAAGTGCTCCTGATACAATTTCTATGGGTTTATTTGTTGCTTTTTGTCCACCTTGCTTTGTATAGACAGCAGATGTATTAAGTGAAGATGCACAGCATACTAAATTCTTATCTCATTCCAAGAACATAGTGCTTCCAAATTAAATTGTTCAAGATGCAAGAAATGGCACTATTAAAGTCACCAGTACAAACCTTAACCTGTCCCCTTCCTCGCAAACATTCCAACTGTTGCCATTTTTCATTAAATGCATCACTATCTATCAGCATATGGATGCACTAAATGACCAAACATTAACCCTAAATACTTGTTCTCTAACTCTATTTGAAACTACAAGAAAGAAAAATCTATTTAGTATTTTCAGTGATTTCTATTACACCTTAAGTAATTGCCATAATTTTGTCTACAATATAATACTGCCAAAATTAAGAATAGAAGTTTAGCCTCTAGCAATCCACTATCAGTTTTCATGGATGCCATAAAGAATTTAACAGCTTCTCTTTTTGTCACATGAACCATACAGGCAGTGACTCTAAGAATAAGGGGATTTCTCCACTACCAAGAAATTAAGTCCCATGTTGAACTATTCCTGTTTCTTTTCAGTTGCATTAGGATGTTGCTAACTAAATCCAGTAACATCACAGCAAAACCTTACTTGGGCTCAGGCTCAGGCTCAGAAACTTTGCAACCTGAATATCAAAACTAAAATAATTACTATTCAAATAAGAAGGGAAAATATAGTATGATATACCCCCATGCCCCACAAAACCTCTACACATAGTACTGTTTCACTTTGGATGCACAAATAGTTGATGCACTGTACAAAGGTAAACATGGTTTGCCTTCCAAACTGGGCTTCAAACCTCATTACATTTAATAGTTCCGTACCAAAATGCCAAGTACTTCAACAAAAATTCTGGCCAGATTTACATACTTAAAAAAAAAATACCGAAACAGAAAAACACAGAGAAGTGTAACATTAGAAAGTTCTAAATTCAAACTACACTTCAGCAGCATAAAGGGGGATTAATCAAGAACTGTGTTGGTGAACTTCTAGAAGAAAGGAACTCATTCCAACAGTGTCTGTCATGCTGCGAGGCATAGTTGTAGCACCTTGTCTTCATCAACTGGAAAATAATGTGCTGTGCTGTTTGCAGATAGTGCTGGCAACCATTCTTCTGCATATCCTGCATTCCCACTCTGTGTGGAGTTATGTATAGCAAAGATTACATGTGATCCCCCAGGCAGTCCAGATATACTTGTGGACAGCTAATTCTGTTTAAACACAAGATACAGTGGTAGTGACCATACTGATTTAAGGCAGATGTATAGAAGTGCACAACAGTCCTAAATATCTCTTTTATTTTGTACCAGAGGAGGTGGTTACAAGAAAGAAAGAAATAAAGAGAGAAAAAGAGAGACTTCTGAAATACTTAGTGAAGCTTACCTTGATGCACACTAAGGAGAAATCCAGGGATTTTGTCTGCACAGAGAAAATTGTCTAAATTGGCTGGAAAAACTCATTGACCCAGTCAGATTGTGTGAAGCTTGTGATCAAATACAGCCCCGGGCTCTCCTGCCTTTTGCACTTGTGCATCTTGCTCAGAACACAAAGCTCAATAAAAAAACCACTAGTTTACTGTGATAAACACTACAATAGAATGGTGTTTGCACAGGCATGTGTGAGTTGCTCTTCTTTATGTGGCTTGGAAACATTACATTCAAGGGTTTTTAGGTGTAAATTTACAGACACCACATGCAAAGAATTTTAAGGTTTTGTTGTTCAATTATTTTAAGTAGAACAATGAGAACATCAATGCAACAACAGTACAAATTAATCAAACAACAAAAAGTAAAGCAATTAAAGCTAAACAGTGAGACTGATGAATTCACAGGTCCTTCTGCAATGCATATTCAAGAGCCTGAGTAATTAGGTGTAACTGTAGAAAGATTGTTAAATGTCCTTTATTGTATGTCTGTGAAACCTACTTCACTGAGAAAACAAGTACATTGTTTCTGTGGCTCACTTTGGATAGCTACAAAAAATGAGGAAGGAAAGATGGTTCTGTAATTTAGAATATGGAATGGGAGATGGAAGTCTCTTGAATCTTTGACTTCCTATGTTGCTTCAGGCAGTGACTTAATTTCCCATCTGTAAAAAAGTTTGACAATCCTTCTGTGTGCCTATCTGGACTAGGAGGACATGTATATTAAGAATGATCAAACAGAGCATAGAAATAAATAATAGTATCATTCCAAGGGTACAACTCACCATACCACCAGTGTTCCATATAATCAAAGCTAGCACATACCTCAACCTCTGTCTCTATTATTGTAAATATCTGTGTTTGCAAAAATCCTGCATATGTTTCCTTGCCATTATCAGGCAGAAACTTGTATTTCTAGTCACTAGAAATTCTCGGATGGTCTCATCTGTGGAAGCCCAACTAAAGCTGCACTCAGTTCTGCAAAGTGCTGAGTATTGTCAGTCCTGATTGGCAGTGAGAGGCTCAGAATTTCTGCAGTACCTCTGAATATAAGACAAAGGTTAAATTTAACCTTGTGAAGTTAGTCCTCCTCCAGACAGTGTTTCAGGTCCTCTAGTTCAGGTCTCCATTCTGAACTGCTTCCACAACCCTCTTCTTTCCTCCTTCTCTGTGTTGACTACAGCTAAGTCAGTATCACTAAGCATAAATTAGGCTTTCTGAATACTCCAAGCTCAATTCCAAAAGTTGACATCAAAATTCATCCTAGAACAACTTCCAAGATGGAGAGGAAACCAACATAACTAATCTAATGAAATTGTATTCCTTAAGTTACGATAGCTTGCTTTCTTTTAAATCTAGATTCTGGTTAAGGTTTGGCAGCACATAAATTCTAAATTAGCCAAAATAATTACAAATAAATACATTATTAATCAAAGCATTACTCCCGTGACTTAATGAGCCCATAGCAATGCTCAGATCAGTAGTCTGTAACTACAGTATGTATTTGCAACTCTCTGGCAAGATCTAGGTAAAGTACCACATAAGCAATTATTTTAAATAAGTCAGGTTCAACTGTTTACCCTAAGGTAGCATTGCAGTTAGGAATGATCTTCATTGTAAGCCTAAGTCAATCCTGCTTTGGAGCAAACGTGCCAAGTGATACAGAGCAGATGCACAGCAGTGGAATATTGTGGTAACATAAAAGTGAGACAATATGGTGAAGATTTTATATAGCTTCATTTTGCAAATCCTTTCAGAGTTCTATGTTTTCTTATCTTAAAGTGACAAAGACAAATCTATAGAGACTGATATATATATAGTAGTTGAACCCTATTGAGCAATTTTTGATGGAATTCTTTGTAATAGACCTAGACAATGACAACAATGACATGAGATTAGCTCTAACACTATTAGCATATAAGGAAAACTATGTAATAATCTTATCCTGTGAATCCAAATAACATTAAAAAATGAGAAAAAGCCACCTTATCTGCCTTGACAATACTGTAATAAATTATTCATCTGGCATAACAACAGAATGGAGTAAAAGAGTCCAGAACATCAGCTTGAATCAAAACACTGATTAGGCAACCTATTTAAAATAAGCTAATTCTTTATGTCTCTGAAAATATTTAGTGGTCATCTTCCCTCAGGCTTTGTTTCCAGGCAATGACTGCAATTGTTCTCAGATAGAGATGCAGCTCTCTCTGTTCTCACCCTGACCTGATGCTTAAACCTTGGTTTTAAAAACATTTTGCTCAATAAAACACAGCGACCAAAGTTGCTTACTCTATCTAAAGCATTCAGTCTATCAAGGTTTTATAAAGAAAAGTTACATAAGATCCTTACCTTAATGCATGTGGATTTGACTGGAACTTTCTCTCAGACCCTCGAAGGTGTCATTGTGTGGATAGAAGATCAGTATTGAATTTATCCTCTTGTTACTCTGAAACAGCCAGTGAGCCTGTGAAATGGGGAGCATACCACATAATTAGAAAATTATCCACTGCCAACTTGCTATTATCCTATGCCTTTCCTAAGAGGAACAAAAGGTGTGCCATACTGACAGCACTTCACACAGGTAATACAAGAAGCTCTCAAGAGTTTTCAGCAGTCTTCAACTTAAATAAAAACACTAGATAGTTTATAATATGGTAGCTAAAGCTAAGGCCTTTAAGGAGCACATAACCTATGTACTTAGTATACAGCACTAAAAGTGAAAGTCATAGTAGAACAGTTGTTTCTTAGGCTGAAGACTGTTCTCTTTAGGCTGAAGCCCAGCTGGATTCGAATCCTGTAAACTAGGGCTTCAATCTTCATGGAAGGTTATATTTCTGTAAAAAGCATATTAACACAAGAAGACATTTACCTCCAGGCTCTCATTATCAGATTACTCTTTATATTAAATTGTCACAGAAAAGACTTTTTTTACGAAGTCAAAGATCTGAAAGATATTATCAGCAGAAATGATAGTTAGTGACTGATGGGAATCCAGGAAAAAGTCTGTAGGATATCACTTAGGAAAAAAAGGCAGCACTATTTTGTAAAAAAATCTTCAATGTAAAAAGAGGGAAAAGAGGATTCTCCATGTGAAAACTAAACAGTTCAAAGGATCTTTTTCTGCTTAAAATACTCAAGTCATTAATATTAAGTATGGCTCCTGTGCCTCTTTGAGGAATTTCAGTCTTATACAGGTGCCAGTTCACCACACTGAGAAAGTCACTCAGATGACTTTGTCTTTCAGATAGCCAAGTCACCGAGGCCCAAACACTACTGAATGCTCCTCCTGAGGGTGCAGTGCAGCACCCTGAGAATCACTGGAGATAGGACTGAAAGGTGAATCCTTTTCCAGCCCTGGCCATAGTCCTGCATAGCTCGTGAGGCAGTGCTGGCACTGATGCCAGATTTTCTGAAAATAATATCAGAAAGTGAAGGTATTATTTCCATCTCAAAAATGATTCAAGAATTAGACAATGAAACTCATACTGGTGTCAATAATATTTTGGCTAAAGGTCAGGAAAATGTCTGATGAAAACATTGTAAAAGGAACTGAAAATATATGTCTTCAGGTGAGAAGGAAAAATCCTATTCCTAGTCAAGGACTACTTGTAGAAAACACATCACTAAGTTGTGCCTCCACTAATGCTCTATGAACTGTGACAATCTTGTAGTAGATTCACCCACCTCTTCTCTAGTTGCATCACTAAGGAGGTATCTACAGATGATTGCATATATTGTATCAGAGACTGCCAGCAAATTATTCAGTACACTTCCAACAGGCCTGTAATAACACAGAATCAAAATCTGAATGACTCAATAATAATTATTTGCTGTTAGATTCACCTTACTTATTTACAGCTACATAAGTTTTACCTCAATCAAGTAAATTAAAAACAGTAACCTGCTTTCTACTAGCAGTGTTAACACATTTCAGAAAGTACCCAAACCCCATGAATTTTCTAATGTCATGGGAGTTAATGCAGTCTCTAATACAGTGCTTTCCTTTACACACCAGGCTATAATGGCTCAGCTGTAGAGCTTGAATTTGGAGTGAGGAATTTTGCTTTCCAACCCTTTTATTGTCACTGTTGATGCCAAGCTGCTCAGCTTGGCAGGCCACATCCTACATCTGTGGGAACTGCATGTGATGTTCATATTCCATCCTTCCAGTCTGGAAGCCACCAGGTTACACAGCCTAAGATATTTTCTTGATGCTTGGGTGCTGATAATAAAGTTCTGTTCTTGCATTTCTCTCCTGAGATGTGGGTTGATGTATCTACTTACAAAGTGCCTGTGGCCCTGGCAAGCTTTCTACTGGAAGTCAAATTTTGCAAATCCCCAAATTTTTTGAACCTTTATCTTTTCTCATGTTTGCTAACCAAATAGGGAGGACTATCATGGAGCACATGTCCCATTTTACAATGAGAAAATTAATTTCACTCTGGTCTTAGAAATGCATAACTACTACAGGGGAGAATAACATCAAAAGTCACTGTGAATTGTATGATCCTGAAAGGGAGATTAGGGAAAAAAAACAACCAACTCAAAGTAGAAAAAAAGAAAGAAAAGAAAAAATCCTTCCATCTATCATGAACACATTCAAGGGGAACAATAATGCACATTCTTAACCAAACTTCAATGCAGATTTACTTTACTGTATATTCCATACACTCATTCACGTGTTTCTTAACAATAAACAAGTGAAAAGTAAAAAATGCAACTGCCAAAGAAAGTTTATTTATGTTCAAACTGTACTGGTGAAATTAGTCAAGGGCAATTCATGCATGTGAAAATATGATTTCTAACACTGCCAAGGTCGATAAGACCTTAGGGAGTAAATGCTAACCACATAAATCAAAGATGCCTAGAGGCAGTTTTGAAGATGAGCGGCAAGGCTTTAATAGTTTTAAAAAGCCTGTTAATAATCCAAATGAATAAGCAATGATACAAGAAGAGCAAATATCATGTTTATGAAAGGAACAAACCACTGCTCGATGTATTTCTGTGGATTGGGTTGCCCAAACCCAGAATCATATGATTTTCTGCTACATTTCCAAAGTAAGTATCTGATTATTTCTCAGACCTGAAAAACGAATAAAGGTGCATGAGTCTAAATGAATCCAAGCTGCCAAGTTAGTTTGCTTGCAAAATATTTTAAGAAAAAGACAGCTTCAGTGACCAAAGTAATTTTATAAGAATATTTCCTCTTTTGCCAAGATGTCTAAACAGAAATGCATTTTATCTGAAAATGCATACTCGTTAGTTTGTTAGTTGGTTTTTTAACCATTTTCCCCTGGTAGATGAACAAAAAACAAACAACTTTCTTTTCCCTCTAAAATTGAAAACTGACAATTTTTCATTTTAAGCCCAGACACTGAACTAAAGAGTACTTCTGGGACTTCTGACTGGCTGGGTCCAGACACTCCTATGGTTGCCACTGTGATATCTAAATGTCTCTTAAGTTTCAGGTTGCCTTTCCAAAACATTGGGTAAATTAGAGCATACTCATTTCCCACACAGCTCAGATATCTGGGATACACATCTAGTATGATATCTGAAGACCTCTGAAATCAAAGTGATTTTTAAAACAATCTTTTAAAGGAACTCAGTTTTAGCTGTTAAAAATACCTTGAATTACAAACAGGATAAGTTTGTTTCTGAGTCAGACCCTTCAAAACCTTAAACAAAGATGAATTCATAACAGAGCTGGCAATTAGAACTCACTGTGTATTTATTCATTTCTATTAACAATTAATAATTGTTTTTTGAATGTTCCTATATTGTGCCATTGTATCACATTTTAGAAAATACAATCCATGAGAGCATCCTGGTTTTACTGCTAAAGATATTTAAACCATTTTTTTTATGTTGCTTCTGTGAAGGTAAACTGTTAAGTTGCCACAATCCCTTTCAGGACAAACTTTTCACTGTCTCAAGTTGCTGTTAACAAATTCATGACTATTACAACCTATTCCTTTTCTCTTCTTGGACATTGCTTTTTAATAGCTCTGCCATCTTGATATTAGGGAAAAAAAGGTTGACTCGCTATGCAGATTCCTCTGATTAAGGGATAGGGCAATTAATCTGGCATATTCAAAACCTGAGCATGAGCAGGCAGTGAAGTCAGAATAGTGAGAAAATGAGAATGCTGTGGAGAGCAAACGAAAATAGATAGTTATGGACCAGTTGCATAGAGAGAGATGCAACCTGACGACATGAAACCAATTAAAATTTGTTGGCAAAGGGTACAGGAGGAAAGGAAGGAAGGCAAAGAGAGAAGCCATCAGCCAAACATGAAAAACTGCTGCGTTCTACTTCATGCAGGCAGAACTTGGTTAGATGGTTGTGGAGTGTGCATACCTGAGAAGCAGCAGGACAAATCTCATTGTTAATCTTGATATCAGAGACAGTTGAGTTTCTGCATGAATCCTTCTTGCCTTTTTGGCCTTCCAATATTTCTGTGTTTTCATTCATTTCCTATATTCCTTGGTCTCGGGGCCATTCTGAAGTCTGAATCAAATTTGGAGAATTTGATTCAAATTTCTGGAGGATGAAAGAATATTTGATCTCACATAAATATAGTTTGATCAGCAAGGGTAACAGTGATCAAAAGCTAATAGCCATAGTTTCCTACTTTTTTTTTTCCTACATAGATGTGCACTAATTCCTCTTCCTATAAGATAATGCATTGAACTTAATAAAGAGGAGGTTTTCACAGTCCCCTCGCTGTAGACAGGGTAAGAGTGTTGGGTAAACTGCATGGAAAATATAGGTAGAAAACACAGCAAGAACTCATTACACTTACTACAGTCACTGATTATCCTGGTAAATACCTTGCTGAAGAACTTTTGGAAAGCACAAGGTCACAAGAAATCTTGGGGGTCTTGAGACCACACCTGTACACAGTTGTTCCCACACATAAAATTTCTACCTTCCTCCTTTCCTCGCTGCAGAGAAGGAAAATAGGCTAAAACATGGGTCCTCCTCCTTGAGATGAGTTGGTAAAGATCAAACATTATTTACATGAGGTTTCCAGTGAAATTTTGCCAGAGGACAAAGGGCTGTATGGGCCAAGAAAAACCAGAAGCTCTACAAGTGTAGGAGGACTGTGTTTGTTGGCTGAGTTTGGGAATAAGTTGAAGTCAGACTAAAGAGCCAACAGCAGCTGTTTCTCAATTTTTTATTATTTTTTTTTTTTTAATCCCAGCACAGCATGCAAATAATTTGCTATGGACTTGAACTGGAGAAGCCAAGTATATAGTACTGTGGAACTGAAATCCAAAAAATATAATATTTCAGGTTAGGAGACCTGCAGCTAGTAAGCCAAAATCACTGTTTGCATTCAATTTTCTGGCTTGATCACAAGCACTCTTTCTTCCTGATACATTTAACTAAAATGTGCAGGTATTGCTTCACAGGCACTTCCTTGGCTTTTTTCAATGCATACAAATATCTGCATAATGTTTTAGCACTACCACCAGATTTTACCACCAGCAAAATCTTTTTTTGTTTGTTTGTTTGTTAGAGTGCAATGATGATTTCTGCCCCTGGATGTATCTGGAGTTTGCTGAAACATAGTATTCCCAACATACTCTCACAAAACTGATCAGCTGCTCTGAGACAAAAATGCCACTGCTCCCTGCCTGCACACATCATTTTGACAGGTAGAAAGAGTGAAGTTGTACAGACTACAGATGATGTAAAAATAACCTATAAAATATTATCTATTAAGAGGAACAGTATCATACTTACTTGAGCCACTCTGTAGCTGTTGGAGTTGACCATTGTGCTTTCCCTCAAAACCTTTCCTCAATTAATCTCTCATATCTAGAGTTTTGATAGGCTTTTCCACAGAGCATGCAAGGAACACATTGCTCTCCACATATCCATTAGAAGTTCATATGGGGCAGCTTCTTTGGAGACATTTTTAATCCAGCATGAATTCCTTAGCATGATCACACTATACCACCTTCCAAATGGCTGGGAAAATCCACATTATCTTGGATGAGTGGTCCTAAATGCAGATCTGATTTTCCAAAGAGACAGGCAGAAAGACAAGTATTTTCAAAGAATATTTATTGTTATGGTAGCTAAGGTGAAGAGTTTCAGAGTTACTTTAGGCCAAATTCAGGACTAACACAAGAAGAAACAACTAGAAAAAGTGCAACAGCCTGTACCTTGTTTTCTTATTTTTTTAAAGACCAAAGTATCATAAAATATTTTATATAAATAGGTAAGAGTAATGAAACCAAAGGGACATGACCATGTTTCAACCCTATGGTAATTTATATTAGCTGAGGATCTGTCCCTAAATATTTAAACAGCAGTCTTGACACTTCCTTTCCCCCTCCCAATTTAAGACTTTAAAGGCACTTTGCAGTTCAACAGTCCAGAGTAAGAGAAGCTCAACTGCATGGTGCTTCTGGGTGATAACACAGCCATCATCTGCACCACCAACAACAACATAATAGTGTGGGTTTTCCAAAAGATAGAGTGAAGAATAACTACCTAGCTATAATCACAAAGGTAATTTTAGCTAAGTAAAATACAATTACACTAGCCAGAATTTCTTTTGGACATGATTAGTAACAAACGTTCCTTGTCCTGTGAAAATGTGCCAGGAAATTTTAATTGACTGCAAGCATCCAAGGCTGCCATTAAACACATCATCTGAAAGATGAATTTATTTGGCCCACACTTAACTACCATGTAACCTGCTTTATGGTTTACAAGATGGAATGATTTTGTTTTACATGACAGTTATTGGGCCTAATTCTACTCACAGCTATGCCAGTGAAAAATTTGGAACAAGTCCATTAAAGTCAATGGCTGTGTAAAATCAGAGTAAAATTAGACTCAGGCCCATCATGCAATGTAATAATAACTGGTACTAAAAACTAGACCAGTTTCTGCTTTTCCAGTTGGTAGCAAGTGGAACCAAGCACTAGATATCACATTATTTTAAGATAAAAGATACCTAAGACTTGGCCCTTCCTCAGAGACCCAGGCTCACATAGCTCGTCTGACACGACACACCGTGTGATGAGAGCACTGCAGGGATCTTTATTCCCTGGCACTTTGGGAGGACAACACAATGAAAATGGAGAAGAAAAGTGAGGAATTCAGAAAGGGATTTTTGTTTATAATAACACTTACTTGCAAATCACTTCAGAATTACAGATCCTCTTTTTTAATATCAAAAGTTTGAGTCGCTTTCTCTTATATGGTTTGAGCTTATTGCTTCTTGTGAGTTCAAGGTTTTCCACAGCTTGAGATGGGGCAGGAATTTGTTTTCTGTTTCCTGACAAGATTATTATGCTATATAAAATAGCTTTTCTCCCAGTGTGGACTTCTCCTTTTTCACTGTTTCTTCGCCTTTCTGGGGACAGCAGTACAGAAATAGGTTTAATGAATGTGTCTGCTTCTGGGGTGCTTTCAAAAGGAATGTCCTAACTTTCAGTACTTACTTCCATGCAAAGGAACATCTTTTTAGGGTTTCCTGGAATGAAGAATCACATCTTACACCTAAAAATAAAAGATTAGGGTGATTAATGTGACACAGTATAAAATGACAAACATTTTCCACTGCCCACAACCGGTTTCCATGATCTCCAAATACCAAATAGTTAACATGCAATAACTCATACTCTGCTATTCTACCTGATAGAAGCTTTCTCTTTATATAAATCATTAACATTATGTAATTTATTTATTGTAATATTCAAATCAGAAGCCCAAATATATAACAGGACTATAAAAATACTAGTAAGTGAAGTTTACTTTCAGCATCTGGTGAAGATATGCTCTAACAGTGTAAGTTAACAGGTGGGGGATTTTTGCTGTTGTTTTCTTTTACATTGTTGTTCTAAAAATAGTAATTTTAATATATACTCAATTTGGAAGCTTTTGAACAAAATTAGACATACAGTTTATTCACAATCTGTACTCTACAAATTGAGCCCAGCATTAGGTCAATGCACAAGCCACTGTACTTAGCACAGTTCTGGACCAGAGACACAGGGAGAAGAAAAGAATTAGAAAGGAAATAAGATGCTGTATCGAGATAGGCACATTGGGATTTGTTCCCATGCTTAAGAAATTAACTAGATTATTATTACTTTCTTGGGAAAGTCACACTGAACAAACACAAGCCAGTGTTTCTCGTCCTTTTTCTTTTGTTGTTGGTGTTGCTCATTGCTTGAGTTTTCAGATTGCAAACTGTTGTTAACCAACAGCTTTACAAGGACCACATGTATATGAAAAACAGTGCTCCCTTCCCAAGTCTACTGACAACCAGCTGATTTGAAAAAGTGTATTTCTATCTATTACAGCACATGTACAGGTTGATAGCATTCAAATGACCCCATTTATGTTAGGACTGGTAAAGTAATATTCTATTATTTCATTGAAAATAAAATGTATTGAGACATTTCATGTTGTTTTTCATCTTCCTTCTGTTTCAATATTACTTTAACTGTGATTTGTGCCATCTAACAACTAAAGGTTATCCAAAATAATTGTTGTACATTGCATCTATTGCATTAAAGCTGATCTGTGTTTATAAAACAAGATTTTTTATGAATAAAATACATTAAGAAAATATAACTGTCTCAACAGCAATTCTGTCAGTTAAAAATACAGTGATATAGCTCGAATTTCTACACTTCAGTGCATCTCTTGAGGGAGTGAAATGCTTATTAGATGGTAGCATGTGTTATTCCCCAAATCTTCTTTTATATGCCTATTTCAAGTGTTTGATTATTGCCCTGCTAATAATAGGTGCTTCATCAGTTAAAGAACAGAAAGAAAAGACCAGAGAAGATAGTGTAAATTGTAGCATGTAATTGTTCACTGACTGCCATTGAAAAGGTTCAGCTGCTACTGTATGACAATCTTGCTCTGATGTCTGCAGCCACTGTTTCATGTAACAGCAATTAAAGCTGTGGGAATTGGGAAAAACTCACCCACAGAGACCAATCCCGCCCCATTAATTTTTAAGTGCACAGAGTACTCCAGAGGACAGAAGAGCCCACCTGGGGCCAGTGAAAACACATCACACCAGTCACTGATTTATTGGCATCCGGAGATGGGTGGTGAAAAGGCTGTGAACTTCCCAGTTCCATAGTCTGACTTGCACAGGTCATTCCCTGTCTTTCCTTCTGTTTCTTCACCTTGGTCACCCCAGGAACCTCATGGAGACATATTATGGTTGCATCCTACATTGAACCTGCCCAGAACTGCATCTGAATTGAATCTGGATGGAGGCAAAGAAACTGGCAGCTAAAACCCCCTTCTGAGGCTCTGCTAAGAAGAAGGATTTTGAGAGCATGGCAGTTTTGCAAAACAGAGCAATGAAGGAGTGTGTTGCAGAAAGAAATGGACTGAAAAAAAACCCCAAAAGCTGCCCAGAAAACAGTAAGATATGAAGGAACTGAAGTAAGAAGTTACTCTTGGAGTCTGATGATTTTACTTGTTCAGAGTTGATCTTCATGGGAAAGAAATGGATAACGTGACTTTCTAAATGAAAAATACGTGGCTGATCCCCAAGCCTCCAAAGATTTTAATGAAGTGACTGGAGATGGATCTGTGTAGTACAAATGGGAAGCATTTCAGCTACTCTTCTTCCTCTCTAATGTCAACAAATACCTCAGAGCTAGACTGGAAGCACCACCAGCACCACTGGTCTCAGTGACAAAGACTACACAGTGATTGTGGAGCAGAAGAAAATGTATGTCTGTACTTTTATCAGTGCCAGCTCACAGGCTCGCTGTGCTCACACCATCCTGCCCTGTTGCTTTCACCCACTCAGACCACTCACAAATTACTGTGGGCCATTCTGCAATAAGCCAATTTTGTTATCCAACCCTTTAACACTTAGAGAAGCCTTTTTATCCAGCAACAACATAGCAGGGAAGGTGCCAACAGATCCAAATGGGCTCTGGAATGATTTATTCATCCTGGGCTTCTAAGCCTCTTTTCCTCAGCATTAATACTAAGATTAATGTGTCCCATCAGTGCGGTGCCAACAGGAACTTTAATAGAAGCAAGAACAACTAGTTGGCTTGGCTTTCTTTCTACTTAAGGTTAGAACATAATAAAAACAGCAACCTACAAAGACTTTTGCTTTAATTTCCTTATTACTTTACAAAATGAAAATATTTTAATTAAATTTAATGAAAACACACAGATTGCAGGAATAGACGTACATCGCTGCCTAAAGTAATTCATTAGCCAATTTTTAAAAGGATAAATGTAATCTATTTGCATATTTTAAATGTTGCATATACATCTTAAAACTTTCTAATAACTTTGTGCAGACAGGTGTATTTGTACCAAAGCACAACATATATAATGTTTAGGAAGGATTCATAATGACCATGACCGACATCCATAGAGTACATGACAGACATGATGCAGCTACAAATTAACATTAAAAAATTTGTTAGACGTGAAGGAATAATTGTTCATATAAGTATTGCCAAACCTGTGTCCCTTTCAAATCTCTTCATCCACATTTATTGCCAGGGACAATATAAGTGTACCATGATAATGGTCTTAGAAGTGTGGACACTTACTCTTATTTCACATGTTCTCTTAAAGTCCTCAGCTGCCAACAAACCACAACAAGAAGGGCTAGATTTTGCCCAGGATGACTTTGTGCTTAAGAACTCCTTTTCTCTACTAACTCTTAAGCTGCACAGGTTTTACACCCTAGGTCCTCAAATCTCCAACTTGAAAATTCAAGCCCATCAAAGTATGTCCAGATTAGCTTGAAGAACACCAAATGAATGCTATTTGAAAATATAGCAAATTAAAAAGCAACCAAAACCTCTGTTCCATGAGTTGCTGAGATGGTTTAGTGACATTGTAACAAACTGCAGCGTAACAAAATCACCTAAATGGACTATGAATGATACTACAGACTGTGCATTGCATATCTGAATGCATAAAGTGGATCCCTTTGGCATGTAACTGCAGTGCTGCCTAAGCCATTTAACAGCAAGCTTTCAAATTAAATCCTGATCACATTGCTGTACTACAAAATGTAACCATTTCTACCTGAGAGATGTTTCGAGTTCTTTTTCTTAAGGTCACCAACCTTCCTGCCTTCTTTTGTGGAAAAAAGTATGTATGAGTGCTCACATACTTCACTTTTCTTCCCTCCCATCCCCTGGACCAATTGTTCACCCAACTCAGGCACAAAACTGCAGAATGTCTGGGTGGTGGTGATGGGTGAGTGGAGCAGAAACTCCATTTCCCCCTAAAAGGCAGAGGTCGCTCAACTGAAAGAACAGAAAGGCCTTTTATTCCTATAAAGAAAAGCAGAGGAAAAAGCTCTTCACAGTGAAGATGAAAAATATTTTATTTGAATCCTGGGAAGAACTTGTTCTTCTTACACTAGAGAATAGTCTATTCACAGCACAGCTTGAATAGCCTTTAGCTTTTCAATGTCCACAACTGGCAAGAAGATACATTTTTACATTTATTTTTATTTTTATAAATTATTTTATGATCCCAGTATGTAAGCCAGAAGAAGACATTTCATGTTATTCCATTCAAATGAGGAAGTGTAAATTTTTTAATCATCTTGGACACTTAGATTTTAAACTTCATCTATTTGGCTGTTATTACAATGACAGTATAGTGTGGGTTTTAATTTGTTGCCTCAAATTTTGAATGATTACTTGTATACTCCTATAAAAAGTAGGACTTTAAACTGGCAGAAAAACCCCTGGGAATGTAAATTATACCTATAGGTCTTTTCAGTTTTTTCCTTTCATGAAAAATCCTTATAATAATTTTGAAAATTCTCTAATATTAGTTTCCTAGAAATATAGGAATTGTAACCCTTGAATTGCCAACAATCTGTCTCTACAAATAGCAAATACTTGCAAAAAATGTTATACAATGTTGGTTGGTAATATAAATGAAATGTTTTCTGTCTAATGTTTTATTAGATACACTACGTAAATCAGTCAACAATGTAAAAATTGAGAACTGTAAATTGTAACATTGACATTTAGCACAGAGAAGTTTCAAATTGGGTAATTTTACAATTTCTTTAATCAAAGGACACAAACAATATCATGTGACATATTTAACCTAAGCAGAGAGGTGAAGATTTGATTAGGAATACCTACATTTAAAACCAGAGTTCTCAGTTTATTCGGTGCTTAGTGAATACCAGCAAAATGGAAATTCAGAATGCCACAGTCAGAACAAAAATTTCCTGCTTACAAATTGTCAGAGTTTTCATTATAAGCTTTAAATTTTGTGACGACTCCTGCTATTAAGCTTTTTACTAATTAATAAATAGTGGCAGACATATACTATTGCTGATACTAATCTGACAATAATAATTCTTTTTAATTAATAAATATGATTTTTTTTCTGTTATAAGAAGTTGAAAAGAGAGGTAGACCCATTGAGCCCAAGTAGAATGATTTAATCTAGTTTCTGCACTGAGCTTGGAAAAAACACATTAGATAAATGGCTTGAGGAATCAACCTACCTCTC